AGAGAGAGACAGAGAGAGAGACAGAGAGAGAGAGACAGAGAGAGAGAGACAGACACAGAGACAGAGAGGGAGAGAGAGGGAGAGACAGAGACAGAGAGACAGTGACTGACAGAGAGACACAGAGACAGACAGAGACAGACACAGAGACAGAGACAGAGAGAGCCAGAGAGAGGGAGAGAGACAGAGTGAGAGACAGAGAGACAGAGACAGACAGTGACTGACACAGAGACAGAGACAGACAAAGACAGAAAGAGGGAGAGAGAGACAGAGAGACAGACAGAGACAGACAGACAGTGACTGACAGAGAGAGACAGACACAGAGACAGACAGAGAAGGGACTAGGAGGAAAAGGAAAATCTAGGAGACAGGAAGGCTCACACACATGCACTGACTTACAGTTGACTTGTTTTCTTTAGCTGATCCAGTTCCAGGATTCTAATGCAATCTGCTTCATGCAGACTCACATGTCTCTCTACTTTAGAGGCAGGAAATGGGTCTTGAAGATAGAACAGCTATTCTCTATTGTAGCTGACCCTGGACATGCTGAAGACAGTTTGCTGGGCCTTCTCTGGGCTCACTACCAGCCTTTCATTTCTACCACAAATGCATGGGGGGAGCAGGGGATCTGTTCACCAAAAAAGATTTTTTACTGGCATCTTGAATAATATGGCACCAGTCATTCTAGTTCACAAGCCTAGAGTAATGCAGGAGCCAACAGCTCTGTAGCTGACAGCAGTCTCTAATTGAATTTTCCTCAGACGCCTGCTTCTCTTAGGCAGCTAGAGAGTAAACCGATCATGATAGGAAAGAAATGGATGTGGGAGTAAACTAAACTGAATGAGAAAATTGTCCAAAATCCTTGCTGAAGGTGTAACACATGTAAACATATCAGAAGACACAAGGACTGTAAAACTGGCTTATTTTGTAGTAGGACAGAACAAGCCCATCAGGGAAGTTCTGGGAACCTGGGAAACAAGTCATCCTTTCACTTAGAATGTGTGGGGTATAAACGGATCAGTCAAGTTGAGATTAGTAACTTCATAGCCTACAATGGAACTAAAGTAAGACCCACTGCTGTACGGTGTTCCAGGGCTCACAAAGCCCTCATAGCACACATCCTAGCACTCCACAACTTATCATGGGTGGCCACTGGAAAGTTTTAAAATGTAAATTAGACTTCTGAGTTTGCTGCTGTTTCATTTTTTTGAAGGAGCACTGCCTCTGCTCTTAAACAAGAAGTTATTGGTCAGTGTTTCTGTGTGTGAGTGGCTTGTGAAACTTGGATTTCTATCTGGATCATATCTGCAGAGGGTTTTTTTCTTAAATAGGATTGAAGAATGTGCTGTTAAAAAGAAGGCCAAGGACTAAACAGGACAAGAAGGACTTTGAAGGTAAGAGCGAGCTTTTCTCATGTGTGCATTCATAAGTACCCTGTGGTCTGCCTGTAGGTGAGGTGAGATTTAAAAAGAGAGTAAGGATGCTTTTCCACATCTTCAGTTTCGGACTTTGCATGCCTTGTTACACACATATGTAATGTAGATTGATGACATGGATAAGTAGGTACATAGAAGACAGGTAATAAGTGGACAGGTGACAAATGGATAGATGATAGATAGTAGATAACTACATAGAAATAGAGAGAGATGATGTTGGCAGGGCGATAGGAAATAGACATGTACATAATACATGGATAGATGATAAAAGATGTGGATAGAAAAGTAAATAGATGATAGCATATGTATAGATGATAAATAAATAGGAGATGGATTATAGATGATAGATGGCAAATGACTGATTGATGCATACATGATAGATGGATGATACATTATAGATAGATGGATCAATAAATAGGTAAGTGATAGAAGATGATAGATGGATAGATAGGTAGATGATAGATAGATGATTGATAGATAGATAGATAGATA